GGAAAGGTCAATAATCGCGTTTTGTATTTAAAGCAAGCGAACCGCTAAATGAATCTGAAATTATATCTTCGGGAAAATTTTACAATGGCTTATATAACGATGGGAGGACTAAGCGACCTGTAATTTGGCTTAAGTGGGAGACGGTCGACCACAGATGCCATTTAATAAATAGCTTTCCATTGAAAATGCAACAATCAGAGGCCCTCATCGGAAGGGCGGCACAAAGAAACACTGCCTAATAATTCTGTTGGACTATATAAATGCATTCAAATAGATAACGTGGGAGCATCAGTGTCAAATCCAAAACTAATTCCAAAATTTAATGTCGGATTACTTCAAGAGTAGATAGACATAGATGTGTTTTCAGAGAGTGAGAGAGAGAGAGAGAGAGCGGTGATAAACTATATAAAGTAAATGGGATGCGCCGCAGGGTCCAGCCCTTGGATTAGCGCTCTAGAAATGCATGTGCGACGGTGTACTGCGCCTTGGAGTTCCTAAACATGCTAATATTATAGGCTTTGTCGATGATGCGATTGTTGTGACGATTGCCAAACAAGTACATGACATGATTAGCGTAAGGAAAAATGTCGATGTCTACGCTGTGACGTAGTAGAAGACGCGAAGCGCGGGTATTCCACAGTATCCTGTACCAACAACAGACGAATGAACTGAGCTCAAAGTTTAGAAAAATACCAGCATCGGAAGAGTTCGTGTGGTACTTGTTTACGGTACGGATCTGGGAAAGGAGCTACCCCAGTAATGTTACCGACGCGAAACTCGTTTCTTAGTTACACCTTGACAAAATAAGAAGAGGCCCAATTCGATGGCGTTTTCCTCCATGAAGGGGAATACTTGCCAGTGGTGCCAAGGCGACAAGGCGACGCGTAGGTCGTTTTGACGAGTTATATTGTTACATGACGACTAATGCGTTTTCCAATTGCCGAAAAAAAAAAAAAAAAAAATATATATATATATATATATGTATCTCTATAAACAAAATGAACGCACAGTTTTCAGAGGTTTTTGTCACTAGTTGAGTTTTGGTATCGCATGTCGGGCAACAATAGTTAGATGCCATAGTTTGAAAACCGACAGTTCAGTTTATAATTTTATAAACATACTTTTGTATACAGAGAGCATAACAAATAAAAAATCTTCTACGTACAGTCCATAAGAGTCCATATTGCCCGTATATTTTCTTAAGATTACAGCGAGATGTTGGATATCGAAGATTATTTTTAAGACGAATAGAATTTTCTAATTATTCCTAAAATGCACAAAGTATTTTAAAAGTTTCAATTAGTTTTGATCAATTACTATTGTTATTAATATTGATCGAATCGCCTTATTAATTTTCCTCTTCAAAACCGAGATGTTTACAATTGAGATTATATAGATGGGAACCATGTCCTTTGATCGATTTAGTCTGCTTCCAATATCAACTTAAGCGAAGTAACTTTCAAAACTCTTTGACAAATTTAGGCTCGCTATCCTAATTTACGCGATCGGGAGGATGTCGGCAAATCGTCTGACCGATTGACGAATGAACACACAGTCTATGACGCTGACCAAGAATCTATATATATATATATATATATATTCTTATAATAACTCCCAAGCTTCGTTCTGGGTGTTGCAACCGTTTCGATAAACTGAATATACTTGCATGTCTCGATGCTGGATATAAACATACTTTGTAATATTTACGTATTGGTTCGATATAGTAGATAGTCAAGATGCCTCGCTTTCTCTCCTATACCAGTTGTACTACGAATTAAGGTTATAAAGTTCCTTTTTCTGATTACGCTGAGTATTTGGAAGTTATACTGGATGAAAAGTTAACCTTCCGCCATGACATTGAACATGTCAAACGGTAAATACATCATTGCTATAAAAATGCTAAAATTCGTTAATAAACAAAAAAAAAGGAGATCGGCATAAGAAAATATGTACAACTTATAAACAATTAAGTAAAAAGTTGAATTTTAATTTACTCGTCCTCTTCTATGAAACTAAACTTCAATTATTTATTATTACTTAGATTACTTAGTAGATTCGTTATTTTGGCTGTTGCTCTGAAAAGAGCATCAAGTGTATATTGGTTTTTTGATTAGTTTTGAATAGGTTAAGACATTGCGTCACGGCCACCGAACCGAACGCACCCAAATTTTGGATAAATAGCTACAGTTTAAGACAAAAACTCTAAACAACTAAACTCATCCAAAAATTTGTAACTTCAAGTCTACAACAGATATTTAAAATTTAGTGCAAAACATAGATGATTTTAAGGCTATAATAAAATGAAGAGAATATTTTGTAATATTTTTCTATTCGCTCTTGATAACGACTATTTATTAAGATACGATTGTACATTTTTTATTTACTTGATTTGTAATTGCATTCAATTATGTCATTATTTACTTTATTTTCAAGGCTTAAATGCGCCAAATGAATACGAATTTTCTAATAAATTGCAAACATTTTTTAATAATAACATAGTGTTCATTGCAAAAAAAAAATAAATAAATAATCGCATAACAAATCTAATTACCAACATTTTGGCCAACTTGTAGCAACATTTTTTTCTCGTGCATATCGTATGGGTTCATTGCACAATAACTTACTTATACTTTTTATCAGTACGAGCGTTAAATTTTTTTTAAGTCTATGTTCATTTGCGCCGAACGTTTACCGCAATAATTTAGAAGTAAAGAAAACGAAAGGAGATCTTGCTTGCCCGGTGTTTTTTGCCAAAAAAATAAAATTACTAATGCATCTCCTAACTCTTATCGTTGTGGTTAAGGGTTTTTAAGTTATTGGAAAAACAAGGAAGAGTTAGAAAGATCTTTCCTTTTAAACTGCACGTTTCTATAGACTGACTAAAGCTTATTAATCATTCCAAACTTGCTTATTACAAGAGAAAAGATATATAAAATGAACGAGATTCTGTGGTTCCTTTTAATTATCGCTGGGGTTCGGCGCGAATGTGATATATAGTTTTAATAAATATTTCTCGCGAATTTCAGATCCCTTCATCACCTTCTAGGTCTTAAGTTAGCTACGAATTCGTATTTAAATGCGATGTTAGAAGATTTTTCCTAAATCTTGCGAGTGGCTTACGGCTAAAACGTGTCCGCTTTCAAAGTTGTTTTCTGGAAATATATCAACAACATATGAGCTAATGTTCAGTTTTTCAATTTAATTTTTTTTGTAATTTTAAGACAACAAAGGAACGGTAGCTAGGTACATATATATATAGCAAATCGACTGCGGGTCTTGCTAATGCAAAATTTTCTACAAATCATAAGAAATCATGAAAATGGACCAAAAAGCCAATTATAGAAAGGACAGGGATATAAACAGGTTGATTCATTATATCAATGTAATTAAAAGTATATATGTCTTACTGGATCTATATCGAGTAGTGGTAGCGAACAGAATGAAAATTCGATGCCATTACAATAATGGTAAATGGGATCATGTTTGGAACTATCCTTTCTACAATATATGAGTTTTCTTAATGATTGACCTGATTTGCGATATTTGTTCGCCATTATTCAAAAGCCGACTCATGATTAAATGAAAGAGAATGCTTAGAGAAATTAAATCAAAAATGATCAATAAGACGAAGAGTAACCAATTTTTTGCTATGAAGCTGAACGCTTGGTTTGCATTTTATTAGAGAAATATACACATCGTACGCGTGTAGACGACAAGCATTGCAATAGCGGAGAAGTATGCACACAGAGTTTTCCTTCGAACTCGTATGTTTGCTTGTCTTTTCTTTTACGCAGAAGTGGACATCAGTGTAAATTTTTTGGAAAAAGAATTTTTTTTTATGGGCCCAACAAAAACAAAAGTTTCTCCTAAGTGTTGCGAGAAGACCGTCCCCGGGTTCGAATCCCCTGCTGAGAAGTTACAGCTCAGCGACTTACCCGTTGATTTCTACCTCTCTAAAACCGTAACAGTTATCTTCAGAAATAGTTTACGATCACTTAAACAACAACAATCTCATAAAAAATATCATATATCTTAGCTTCATTGGGATGGCTGATGACTAGATATGAGGTTGAGAGTAATTCGAAAGTTTTCAACGTTTCTGCGAAGAAGGTGAATGCTTGAAATAAAGTTTTTGGGGTCGATTATAAATTCGGCTACATTCGCGAAAAGGAAATGAGGAAGAATATTTGAAATTTGAAAAAAAAAAAACACATTTACATAGTACATGCCCAGCCATTAATGCGTTTTTTCAAAATTTCTACAGAATCTTTATTATAACATAGCCTATCTATCTGTACTCAATATTCTAATGTTCGCAAAATTTAACACATCGCTTGCAAATTTTAACAAGAATTTGAAAATAGTCCAAATTGGTCAAGGGACAAGCCTATAACACAATTCAACTAAGAGCAGCTTATTTTTACCTCGTTACTCATAAGCTATAAAAATGCCTGTTACCTCTTTTTTCCTTCCATCCGAAAAAAAAAGAATAGAAAAAAAGAAAAGTTTTTTCTAGGTTGTGACAGTGCCCCGTTACCCCTTAAGAATTTTTCCACAATTAGTAAATGTAACGAGCACAAACTCTATTGTTATGTGTGTACTTTGATTAGGTTTTTTCTCATCAATCGTTAATAGTGTAATAAAGGAGTGTAGTCTTAAATGAGGGCAAAGCTTCGCTTACTATAACAAGATGTAGGGTGTCTCTTCACTTGCCTCACTTGCTTATTTAAATTGAGTTAAAGTATGGATACAAGAAATTGAGTATAATTGCCTTACAACACTCCGCTGAAAAACTGGCTTTTGAGTCACCGGGTCCATAGTTAATGAAAAACAAAACCCACAGAATCCAATATGCGCACAAACATCATCATCTTCGCTTACCACCACAAGTAGGCTGACTATAACAATAACAAAATTGTATTTTATGTTCAGTATTAATTGATTGATGATGAGATTGATAAGGGAAGAGGTTTACGTGTTTAAACGAGAAAACTAAATATATAAAAGACATCAGGCCAGAGTGCGTTAATGAATTACAACGTGAACGGCAAGCATGACATAACAATTTTTTATATACATTTCGTATAATGAATTTTTGTAGGTATGTAGTGGTGATATATTATGTTTTAATCTCTCTTTGAAAGTACAATCAAAGCGGTTTTTTAATAACATAATAATAATAATAACAATAATAATAGTAATAATAATATAACCTGCCACTATGTTAAAAGAGTTACGTTGATGGAACGCGAGGCCGATAAAATTTAACAAAAGATGAAATATGCACGTGCAGAGTCAATTTAACTGATATCAAAAGCATAATGGAAAATGAAAAACAAAAAAATAGTTATTTGTGACGGTCATAAAACGTTGTAGCAAAGTTTTTGGCTTTAATGTTCGTTGGTCCGTATCCGTAACAAGTCAAAGCAACGGCAATTATAAGATGAGAAAGACTTCCCCAAATTTTTATAGCAAACATTTCAAGGTTGTGAAGTACATCTAGTTCTGTTTTCACATCTATTATCGGGCGGTCGTGTGCGTCAAAACCTTTGCAATACCAAGAAGAAAGTTTCACAGATACATATATATGCAAATGCTAAATGGGTCTAGACATGTCGGTGCCTCAGTCTCTGTAAATTTCTATGCTAAACATTCATTTTCTCAGTTCGCGAAAACTAAGATATCGAATTCATATTCGAAGCAGAAGCATGATAAGGCATTACATGTAAGCTGATATTGGAAATGGGTCAAAGTACACACTGCACTGTAGTCCAAAACTTCCAAACATGTATGCTGTAGATAATCCGATAGTGGTATCTGCAAAAAATAAAGAGGATCGTACATAGTCATCAAATTTTGGAGATTATCAAAATTTCATATATCTTTCTTATTCTTTAAGTTTATTTTACGCGCGGTGGTGGGTATTAAAGATTCGACCATTGGTGAATATAATTTTTCTACTATTTTAAGAAATGTAATTTTTTTTGGATCATTCACATGTCTGTACGTTGCTTTCGTATGAAATAATTCCTTTTTTGCTTATCCGACTTGTAGTTTCTAATCGATTATTTTTTTTTTTTTTTTCAACAATTACTTAATTTATAAACATTGTTTTTACAATTCATTTGACGTGCTTTCATTTTTTTATGCAACTATAAAAGGTTTGCCATTGTTTGAAACCTTCATCGTGACAGATATTGATTAAGTTAAGTATTGAAAGGTCTTTTCTAATTATATATATCCATATTTCAGACTTTCAGGATACGTTTACCTCCTCATTTCAAAAGAGCGTAAATAATTTTTTTTTTTATATTTTAATGAGCACTTTTTAACCTTGTCATTCTCATTCAATTATTATTTAAAATTTAATCACTTTCTATACCTTCGCAAGTAATGATGGGAAGGGCCGTTAAACATCACTTTCCAAATGGGCAACGAATATGATTATAAGAAGTAATAAAATAATATAAAATAATTTGTCATTTTATGAAGCACTTCAAAAAAAGAAACACAATTCGTTTTTCAAGTGCATGACGGTGGGTAATTTTTATAAAGAAAACAAGCCTGCTTATCGTCAAGTTAATTCGAAAAGAGCTTAACTAATATTTATACAAGAGAAGGAAAGTATTCGTTCATTCAATGTCATACGATAAGACGAACTGAAAAGCCTCTCTGTATAAATGAATGATTACAGAACGGTTTAGTTAGCATACGTCCTCCCTTTTCGGTTAATATGAAAGTAGTCTAACTCTTAATTGTTATTGCAGTTATGGGCTTGCTATCCTAAATATTCCCTCAACCACTTTCTCAATTTTTCTATGTACACGCTAATATTGCTATATATGTTTACGAAGAAGCCGCCCTCATTTTCATTCGTTTGGTTTGAAAGAAAGCAGCAAAGGGAAAGCTATTGTTTATAATCACTATTTGAAGACTAAGTGATTGACTTTTTTTACTCACCACCATAGTATAGAGGTATAGTCCTAATGCTTGCAACACTCAAAAGAGAGCTTCAGAGGCGTTATAAACTATGTATAGTGTTGACCAAATGCCAAATCCTGAATAAATTTAGCCATGCCCGCACATCTGCATGTCTGTCTGAGTAGCCGAATAGGCACAGGATCGTGACTAACAACTTAATGTTCGCGGGTTGAAATCTCAATACAGGCGAGTACATATGATCCGAATTATTCCGCAACTTTTAAATCCACACTTTATAAATTTACTTACAAAATACATAGATAATGAATTAGTAAAAAAAAAAAGAAAAAACAAAATTTGTGTGTCTGTGTTGTTGACATTCCTCCATGTCGCAATAAGGAAGTTATCAGCTTGAAATGTGTCCGAAATATAGCAAGCTTTTGCGTGCGGATATTGGTGTGGGATATTGGTGTGGGATCACACTAAAGCGTAAATTGAAAGCATCTTAGAACAAACAATGCTTTGTAAGGCAAAGCCTGTTCATGTTGCAATTACTTGTAAATTATACTTTCTTAGCCAGTTATGCCCTCCAAAGTAATTAAGTTTATTTCGAAAGCCTTTTGCCAGCTGGTTTTTATAGCCTCATGGAATCGATACAAGCTCTTTGCATAGTTTGATTTATTATTTACTTTACTAAATAGAAACATATACAAATATATAATAAATAAAAAAATTTTAATTTCAAATATGATTGATTTAATTAAGAAAAGTTCGTCTAAATGCGACTCTGTTCATTCAAAAGGAAAAAAAAATAAAAAATTCTCTCGTGTTCCTTTATTTATATTCCATAACATTCATTAGAATAAATCTTGTGTTATTAATAATATTTTTCCAAATTCTGAGTTTCTCTGTTGCTTTTGATTTTTTGGATAATTTTTATATATATTTTTTTTATTTTTCAATGTTTTTTAACCGCCCTCACAGTGTTAGAAACGGAAGTTATGCCCAATTTATGTGAACCGAAGCAGGATGACGATTACGATCCATATGTTTGCGCTCTGAACCCAGAGCTAAAAGCGATCGCTAAAAGGGAATTACACGAGGATGATAACATAAGACGTCAAGCGTTAACGCAATTTCGTGAATGGATTGCCAAGCATCCATATATCAAGAAATGCCGAACAGATTCAATTTTTTTGTTACGGTTTTTGCGCACAAAAAAGTTCTCAGTACCGGCTGCATGCGAAATGTTGGAACGTTATTTGACTATACGGCAACTGTTTCCGCATTGGTTCACTAAGCTGGATATAGAGGATCCGGCCATTAAAGAAATATTCGAAAATGGTTATTTAGTTCCTTTGCCACAGCGCGACGAATTTGGTCGGCGCGTTATATTTTCAGTGGCCGGTAAATTCGATCCTTACAAGTTTACCTCAGTGCAAATGGCTCGCATACACTCGCTAATATGCGAAGCATTGCTGGATGAAGAAGACTCTCAGGTGGCCGGTTATGTGTATGTAAATGATGAGAGCGGCATGAATATGGGTTTCATTAGTCTCTGGTCGTTAACCGATCTGCGTAGCATACTTAAATGCATACAAAACTCTACACCCATGCGTCACAAGGAAACACATTTCATTAATATACCCCACTATGCTAATCGAATTATAGAGCTCGCCGTTTCGATGATTAGCGAAAAACTAAAAAAACGCGTTATAGTAATAATTAATTATTTTGCTTTAAAAATTAATCACAAATTTTATTAATAATATTCTTTTTGTTTTTTTTGTTTTTTTTTTTATTGTATAGATTCATAAAAATATTGATGCCCTGAAAACGAAAATTAATCCTGCCATTCTGCCTAAAGAATATGGCGGTACGGTACCCATCGCCGATATGGTTACCGAATTTCGTCAGAAATTATTACAAAAACGCGCAGCCATCTTGGCTTTGGACGAAATGAAAATTGAAATAACTAAAGAAGCGGGGAATTTCGGGGGAAACGATATTAGCGAACTGGAGGCGGGCGTGGTCGGCAGCTTTAGAAAATTAGAAGTTGACTAATTTAAGAAATAATTTCATGGATATACACAGTGATTATACTAAATTAACTGTAATACGTTTGTGAGAATTTCCGTTTACTTACCCTCGTACATTGCGATAAGACACATATATAGTATTTATGAATAACATATATTCCTAATAGAAAGAAAAAAAAAAAACAAAAAAAAAAAAAATCCGCATATAAAAATCCCTGCATATTTATGCATTTTAAATAGGTTACGATTATTTAATAAAAATAATAATAAAAAAATATATATATATATTTTTATTTATAAATTAAAGTTCAATATAGCCATAAAGAATATAACTTAACGATACACATTCATATATTATATTTTCGACTTACTTTTAATCAAAGATCACATTGCTCTATGATTCCCATGAACGTTTGCGGGATGTCGCATAAGACGTTTGGAAGGGAAAGCGAAATTGTGAAAAAGTCTCACTTTTATGTATTATCAGGCTTTTCATGGCATCTCAATTAAATAATGTTAAAAATTTCTCGCAGTCATTTTAACATATTTCACTTGCGTTATATTATTATGTAGTGTTATGTTGTGAGTTGTGCTATGAAAAAGATTTTTAATAATTCTATGCATATTCGTCACTTTTCCTCTCTCAACTGCTTGGCAGATTTTATGCAAGACTTCCTTTCAACAATCCCCCGCACATATGTTTTCTGTACCTATAACCGAAGGGTGAGAGATTTGCAACATGCAGAAGAAAGAGTCAGAGACTCAAAAAATTGTGTAAATTCTTGATCGAATTAAGCAGGTCCGTTTTCCCGCCTGTGAGTCTTAAACATTCTTCTAGCCGGAAAAATGGAACTACCGATTTGAAATTTGGCAAAAACATTGGAAATTCGCTCATAAAGGTTCGTATCCAAAATGGGCCAAATCGGATGAAGAAAACGCCTATAATGTTATGTAAACTGAGAACATCTCTACTTTTCAAAAGGAATATTAGATCGATTTTTTGCTCATAAACTTGAGAAGGGAAAAAGTAGAAAAATTTTGGGCGTATATCCTATGGGCGATGCTGTAGTGCCTTCATCAAAATGGGAAAAATTGAGCACGCCTACCCAATATTATAGTGTATTAAGGTTTGATTTTGTTTTCAATCCCTTTACAATGCCACGCCTTTAGGAAGCAGGCTTCAAAACCCCGAAAAGTACATAATATCTTGGACAGTCTCAAACTCTGAATGCACCTAAGCATATTCTTCTGTTCGTCTGTCCACCTACATGTCTGCGCAACTGTGAACTATTTTTATATATTTTTGCTTTAGTATTCTTCTTCTTTCGAAGATAGAAGTAAAGATTTTATTTAAAATATCCTTTAATTCCGATCTTAAATATGCGAGAAGCCTTTGCAATTACTCTCGTTTTCGCTACGATTCCCACCATTGAGACCGATTATTACTTATATTTGCTCTATTGACATCATACAAAAATTTCCATTAGGTTCACCTGAGGCTCTTAATAATTGCTAGCCGGAAGTGATACTTTGTATTAAATTATTAAAGAGCACTAGCACCTTATGATACAGGTCACATTAACTTTGTGCGGATGTACGTGGCACCCAAAAGCACTTAAGATAGGTCGACTTTTTGTTATATCAATCAACATTGACCTCTTTTCTGAACATAAGCGTGTCCGCCCGCTTCCCGGTCAAATATTTGCCTATCAATTTTTTTTTTTTGTTTTTAACCTACAATTTTTTAACCATTGTTGCCAAGTAGTACTATTTCGACATCTTAAATTGATGTGAAAAATTTTCGAACAGATTGTCCAGCGTTTTGATCATTCTTCAGTGTAATAGTTCGTATGAAAAGTAAGCCTTCTTATGAAAAGAAGGTGGAATTTTAAAAACGTTAGAATAAGATTTAACTCATAATAATAATTTGATATAAAATTTTTCTTTACCAAACTTGGGTCAGATAGGGCTGTTTTTAACACCGCGTTCCATAGAAATATGGATATGAAGTCTAGTGTTTCGTACTCTACACGAAAAATAAACGAAGGATTTAACAAGAAAATCAATTTTGCTTAAATGTGAAGTAAATGTAAATTTCTGTTTCAGGCTCCCACCTCCGTACAAGGGTTCCCATGCCTTTACATCGAATGAAAGTACAATAGTTGGTAATTTATTACGAGAATACGTAAAAGGATTGCGTTAGGTGAAGTTGTGTAGAGTATTTAATGATGCGTCTTGTCCTCATCCGTTGACCTTGTTTTTAGCGATATTCCCCGGCTTAAATGAAAATTAAAACGCTTCTTATAATATTTGAATAAGAGAATCATATTTTATTATCGACATTCCATTTCACTTATACTACAATATACAAGGCATGAGATTCTACGTTAAGTAAAGCTATAGAAAAAATATTTGTTATCTTATTTCTATTCAAAATATATTTTAAAATAAGTGAATTACAATAAATATATGATAATTAGTTAAGGAATCTAGCCTTTGTCGTTACTCAAGGTTGCCAAAGTTGTTACAAGAAATTGCTAACGCGCTGTCATTGTAGATTCTTTATGACAAGAGGATGGGATAGGAATAGCTTCGTATTATCAACTTGTTTTTTTTTTTTTTTAGTTAGATCCTGAGCGATTTATTGAAATGTTAGTATGGGAAGGGGAAGAGCAACGTGGACGGTTGTTTCAATTGCGTAAGCCATTCCGTGTTCTTTATCGAAATGCAAATATTTTGGTAATCAACTTTATATCGCCGCAGATATTATCTCCAAAATCCAATTTTAATATGGTAATCAACCTTCGATGTATGGAACTCAATATATGAATTCTACAGTTATGGATAAAATTGCAATGACGAGAAATTTCTACTTACTTTATCGGTAAAAACTGTGATCACGATCATACCAAAAATAACTTTCTCAGAATCTGATAATGCTTTCTGTGGTACCCTTATCGACATCGTCGCCAACATCATCAGGAGCTTCTGTATAAATATGTTTTAAATATAAATTAAAATATGCCGTATAATTCATAGGAGTTGATATGCGATTTTTGCGCACTGGCAAACGTGGCGACAATGAAAGCATACTGGCCCACTGACCGTCACAAAGATCATCGTAACGCAGCAGGCCCACTTCTTGGCCGCCCAAATCACCAGGACCGCGACATTTAGGTTGACCGTCCCATAATTTCGTTGAAAATTCCCGTATCCAACGAGCCAAATATAAGGCACGACAATCGCAATGCCAAGGATTCTTATCCAATTTAACGGCCACCAACTTTATAAGATCTACAAACGCACTGCGCGGCAGATATTGTAATTTGTTAGAATCAATGCGCCTGGGCAAAAAAAGAAGAAAAAAAAAAAAAAAAACAACAACAACAACAACAATATATATGAGCATCATGATATAACATTATGGTAGAATGAATGATACGATACGCTACATACAGTTTTTCCAAATTTTTCATTGGAGAGAAAACGCGCGAATTAAAATATTTTAAATTGTTGTTGTTTAACATTAAATGCTTGAGATTAATAAGACCCTCGAAGTCGTTTGCCTCCAAGGTGGTAAGATTGTTCGAAAAAATTGTTAACCTTGTAATAGATTTCGAATTCAGGAATAAACCGTCCGGTATATGCGACAAAGAATTTTGACCCAAAAAAAGTTCTTTTAAGTTTGTCAGTTCGGCGAATGCGTGAGCATCTATCTGTTCATGTTTTAAAAAGTAATTAGAAACATATGCTTAAAATGTTCTGGACTGCTATTGCATATTCTATATATGTACATATATATGTGAATATTACTAGGTAATATTAGTAGGTAATATCAGTAATGATAATCGAATGATATGTAAATACCTGTGTTATACGATTCAGGGTTAAGTCCAAAGTTTCCAACAGGAGCAATTTCTCAAATATCACTCCAGAAATTGCAATTATGCGATTATTATGTAAGATTAAAGTGCGTAAACTTTTCAGACCCGAAAAGAAATCATCTGAAATTGATGCTGTAACACGTTTTCGCAATTTTATATATTGAATTCCAAAATCTTCTTTACTTGGTCACCCACCTATAGCATTCCATGAAAAGTCTAAAACTATTAATTTCTCCAAGTATACCATACTTCCTGATCGTAAATTTTGTACTTCGTTTTTCGACATATCCAATTCTTCTAAGGCTAATAAATCCTTAACTAATTCGGACGGAAAGATTTTAATTTTATTGTCGCTTAGATTAACAACAGTTAAGCGTTGACAATGATTGAAAAGACCCTGATGAACGTGAGTCAAACGATTCTTACTGAGATCGAGCAAATTTAAATGACGTAATTTCCAAAAGATACGATAATCTAAATCCTCTAAATGATTATATTGTAGACGCCTAGAATGAGAAATTTATATAAGCATTACATTACAGAGAACGGGTTAGAAAGCTGAAATACTTACAGCTGCGTTAAACTGTCCAAATCGTTGAATATATCAAAAGGCAGGAAATCCAATTGATTGTTGGACAAATCTAAATCTTCCAATAGTGTCAAGCCACGAAATGTATCCTTATGCAAGGTAGATAAAGAATTGCGTGAAATATCTCTTCGTTACATTAAAGAGACACAAATATTTGATTAGAAAATCGATTTCGTCACATCAAAAACAAATACAAAAAAAAATTGTATGTATAAATAAAATAAGACATAGCCGTAAACAATAATTAATGATCAAGCTAGAAACCCTTTAAAAAGTTAAAAGTTATGTCCAATAAAGATGATCCCTGGATTTCGAATATTTTAAGCAAAGTTTTTGCGGAAATAGAGATTAACTCTATTGAGTTTTTACCGCATACAAGCTAGCTTTTAGGCGAATCAAAACCGGAAGTAACAGCACATGTGAAAAGTCTCTCCTTTTTATCGCAATTTTTGAAATTATACCACCTCTAACGATGATCGCTAGGTAATCGGACGGAAAGACAAACTTAATTAAATCTATTTAGAATCTTAAGCTTGCCAAGTCATACTTCTTCACGGTCAAGAGGATCTTAAAGCTCGAATGCCCCCATTTTTTATTGTGTTGATATAAAAATTGAACTAAAGAATATATTAAAATTGATTGCAATTGATGGCAAACCTACTCGCCCTTATAACCAAGATAGCTAAAAACAATACAGTGAATCACGGCCAACCATTAAATAACCTACGCAAGTTCATTTAAAACCTTTATTCATGTAATGGTTTTTAAAAATAAGTTTGTATGGGAAATGGTAGGAAAAGTGGCCCGATCCGAATCATGGTTTGGAGTGCGCGTTTTTAGACGAAAATACGTCAATGCATCAAATTTCATCTAAATATCTTATGAAGGTTATGCACAAGAATACACAACAAACGGACGGACGGACAGACAAGCTTAAATCGATTGAGAAATTGATTTTGATTCGACCCGTATAATAGAAGATGGGGTCTATTTCAAGTCCTTCCGGTTGTTGTATATACCCGCACACACTTCGCAAGCACTTGCACCACAAATGATGATTTTGAAACAATTTTTATTTTATATATGAAAATAGACTTCCCTTCATTTTTCACTTCTATTACTAGAATTTATTTCCAGTTTTCCACTTTTCGTAAAATATTAGAACAATTAACAAATTATTTTGCTGGCGTCTTTTTTTCGGTATCTGCAACTTTCTCTATCTGCAATTTTTAGGGGGTCACAAATTCGAGCGGTTCGTATACAAATATTTTAACTATAATTACATTCTTGCCATTGTCGTGCACCTGTTTCCGTGTCTTTCTCTCGCTTGCAAATCGATGAATTTTCTTTTTTCCTACTGATTCTCGATACTCGAAAAAGGAACAAAGAGTAATTTCGCTTCTGGGCTTAGCTTGAGTTTTGTCCTTTTGAGGCGACTATTGTTGCGATTTTCTATCTTCTTTTTTAGCACACACAAGCTTCTTTTATACTTTTCTTTTTGTAATTTTTTCAGCCTTTCAAAAAAAAAAAAAAACCGTGACGTAATTAAAGCGATAAGTTTGAACAAAAGAATCGTTCATCAGTAGAAAGGAGGCTAAGACTTTAGAAAGATTTTGTAAGTCCTGAGAGAAAAAAAGCAATCATCTACTAAAAGGTACGCAGGAAGCCTTCGATAGCATTTATTCTTATCTTGAAATAATTACGGTTGGTCGTTGTCCAATCTGTTCTTTACAAATGACAACTCGAACTTTCCGTTATGTTTGAAAACAAATTTGTACCATTGCCTCACTTGCTAAATGTCGATTCGAGCTGAAATTGGTTAGAACGTATTGTTACGAAATTCACTTTTCTCGGATGCGGTTCGTATCACTGGATCGTGGATATTCTCTTTAAGAAAAACGGACTTGCATGTTCCCATGACAAGACTCTTTTATTTACAGTCAATTTGTTTAAGGGCGGAACTATTTATATTTTACTTTGGCAATACTCTCGACTTCTCAACTCTAATATTCTTATTCGACCGACTCTGTCTTCCGCAAATAGTCTATTTATATACAATTTTTACAAGCATATTACTATTACCTAAGGTTCATGGCTTCATTTTTAATCCGTTAACCTGCTTATCTGCTAATCGTTTTCCTCGGCCGGCAGCTGCATGACGCGCCGCGAATGTGCACTTGAATTTTCCCTCTCTAAGGAGTTTATTATTTGGATAAATCAATTGATTGAAATGAAGTGGATTTGGGATTGAAGAATTGAACAAAAGAAATCATAGATAATAATGGCATAACCAAAATTCATTTCAATGAAGGATATATTGAAGGAAATTTGATAGGAAGAAATAAAATTAAAAAACAAGTAAGAAGACCATTAGATACCCTACGTCACTTCGCCTAATTAACAGTACGCCAAAAATTATATATCTAATTTTCATGTAAATCCATAATTTTCCTGAAAGCCCGCATATTGGAAGATATATAAACGTCATCGTGGTCTAAATTTAATAAAAATAATGAAATTATTTGTTAAGAACAAGCCGCGAATTGGGTTTTGTCACCATAGAAGAATCTGTATTCATGAGAGCCCCTATATATGGCGCTGTCTAAAAAATACATCTACAATAGGTCTAGTTATTATGATTGTGTGATAAACATTTTTTCAAGATAACAATTTGACCAAAAAATAATTGGAACAAATTTGAACCACATAGGTCTATTTTTTGGACCCCACTCCATATAAAACTTCTCAATTTTGCAATGAAAATTATATTAAAATATAGTAGAGAAATGGTGCTAATCTAGCAAGAAAACAAATAACAGTACATGGTTTGGATCCCATAGGGCTAGTTTTTAAATTTGAACATATATAGCGTATATCATAAATAGTAAGCCCCTAGATGAAGAGAATTTTTCAATACTTCTCATGAAATGTAGACCTCCTCTATATGCAAAAACGGCCTAATTGTTAATGTTTTATGATAAAGGTTGGTTTATGATAGTAGCTTGACATAAATAACGTTTGTCATGCATGGCAAGCCCTTCAGAACACGTTTTAATTATTAATATTCAATCTTGAAATCGCTCCATAGTAGAAATTTAGCCAGAAAAATTTGGAAATCAGTCTAATCAATTATTAAAAGAAAACTCTGCAGAGGGTAAATAAATGGCAGTCAAAAAGGTCAAAAGGTTAAAGCTCCCCAGTCAAGCTACCTCCATTGTCGACGTGTGCCATCAAAAATGTATATGGTCTGGCACTGCGTATTGAAACACGACCGTCTTCCGAAGGCATTAGTTGTTGGCAGCGGAGAGTGAAATTAATTATCTTTCCAGATTCGAACAGGTCGTAATGCGCTCTTGATTGGTACAATCAAGACTGCCTTGTTTTTCATATAACATTCCCGTATGTAAACTGTTTTCCATTCCTCGTTATAATTATATCAATTTCTTCAAACCAGGTTCGATTCCGTTCCCTTTTAACAGCGATTCGAAAATAGAAATTTGATTCAATAAGTTTTTCAATTATAATTCATGTGGAATAAGTTAACGAGTTTCGGGAACTACTTTTTCGCCTAATGTTTAATTTCACATATCATCAGTTGACGAATACGTCGGAATTTTGTAATGAAAAACGATCGAATCATTTGCGTGCCTGTGCGTAGTTGAATTATTCGCTTTCATAAAATATCTTCATCGTAAACATTGCGATATTTTTCGCATGCTTGTGATGCGAAGTGATGTCATAAAATATATCGAATTTCGTTAGAATTTCAAAAGATTAGAAAGATTGCTTTTGGCTGAATTAAAAACTTTTACAATCGTTTTCCTTTCCCTTCCTGTTTTCACACGTACGAAGGCCTGGCTTGATAGAATTAGTATTGACAAAGTTAAAGGACCTTAAAATTAGTTATTGACAAAATCGCTACAAATTTTTTTTTTTAATTCTTTTTTTCTCTCTCTCTTTCTCTCTCTCTCACTCACTCTCTTTCTCTCTCAGTCTCTGTAGATATGAACTATGTTACACAGAATATACAAAAAACCAGTGTGCAATCTCGACCAATTTGAACACATTTTATAGTCTTCAATATTAGCAAAATTTGATGATAATACGTTCAACTCTTACTTACATTGTTACCATATTAAGGGGGATAATTTGCATAACTGGGACTGTTTGTAAATTTTTATTCCAACAAGTGAAACTTTTCGTATCCGGATTGCAACGACATACGCCGGACGTGCAATGATTCCATTCTTTTTGACTACCGAGTACTAAATGCCATACGGGCTGCTCAACCGATCGTAAACGACTTTCAATTTGACGAACCATTTTATACAAGCGGCTGCCATTATTCTCGTCAATATCATTTGGGGTGGAAGATGACATTTTGAAATCTGTTTTGTTTTCTTTCGCAATTGATCGACTTTTCGCAGTGTTCACTATTACAGCTTCGCCGCTCAGTGATGCTTTCATCAATAGAAATAATTGTGAGATTATTTTTAAAGCTTCACAAGCATTCAATGAACAATTCTGCGTATTGGCGATGGCCGTAGGCGTTAAATAACGTTTACGAAATTCTTCAAATGTATCTGCGTTTAAGGATAACGTTACGGGTTGTTGTGTATGCATTAATTTTATTTTTCCGATAGAAAGAACAATAAAGTAGACAATAAACGTCAGCGTAGTCTTTGTCTTCATTTTGTTTCTTATATATAGATTTTTTTTTACTTAAAACTTTTCTTTAAATGATTTTATGAGAATATTTCAATAACAACTGATAAGCTCTTGCCCGTTACATGTTATATTTATATTTTTATTCTGTGAAAATTGTCATTTAAGCCAATACTTTTATGCTAATTTTTAAACTTTTAAATGAGTGCACTTTTCAATTAATTTATTGCATTTTGAAGACCAAATTATAATTTTATAAAAATATTTTGCTAAGTGAACTAAAGCTAGAATCGTAACAACAACGATGCAAAGTAATAAGAAAATTAATTCATTTTCTAAATTGAAAATGCAAAAAGCACAAACAAAGCCCAAAAAAATCTTTAAATTACACTTTCATAGTCAAACAACAATCGGTTATGTGTGTGCCATTCAAATAAAGGGTGAATGACCGTTTGCCTAATTACACACCTACAATTACATCCATATACATGTAAATAGATCTTGCAAATGCCAATACATTTATAATCCGTAACCCAGTGAACAGCTGGCACATCTTATTTAGTGATAGTCAATGGGCGAATGCAAAAGTATGCGTAATTGCCGGCCAACGACGTTGTAAAAACCTAAAAATATACCTTGTTTTTTTTTTTTTTGTAATTTGAATTTTGCTTTTTCGATTGCCGGCAAAGATAACAGAATAATAATAATCATAGTATAGTGTGTATAGTATAGTATAGTACAGTATAGTATCTAACAGTAAGGAACTTATACAAAAAATAAATATTATTTTCACGAACATGTGTTTAATTTGAAAGCACTCCGTGTAGCTGATGAAACTTTGAATCGAAATAAAGAAAAAGTCCACTTAGTCCACGTATCTTTGGCCAACGAAGGATGAATTAATTGCAAAAATATTGAATATTGCCTGACTGGCGAATAATTGAATTACGAAATTTGATTTTTGTTAATTTTCAACCAAAAAAATAATATTTTTTTCGCCATTCCACCGCCGTAAGAAACTCGAAAGCAACGCATGAAAATTTCTTGAAGTTATGTTGCGTATCATTTAAAAAAAACGCATTCAAAATTTTGAAACTTGTTCTACACATGTTTTTTTAATAAAATCAATTTTTTAATAACTTTTATGAGCAGTTTGGTATTCGGGGACCATCAATTGCCTTGCCATGCTCCAATATTTTTTTCCATTCTCTTTCCTCGGGCAATGTTTACTAGGAATAGTCACTTTGACAGCAATTGTCAAAGACAAAGTCTCCTCCTTTGACATTTTACATCTTGAATTAAACAAGAAAAAATTTATGGTTCTATAGTTGAATTCATTATACCCTACCCCACATTTAGTACAGGGTATATTAAGTTAGTGCGTCGTCGCATGTAACATGCAGAAAGGCTGAAGACGGCACCTTTCATTATACCGATCGATTCCGGATCATTTTCTGAATTTATCTAAGCCTACGTTTGTCTGCCTGATGTCTGTCCTTGTGTTCTTTTCTTCACCCATTCAGTCAGAAATTTCCGAGATATTTTGCTGAAGTTTAGTATATGACATGCTTTGACCCAAGGACGATCGATATTGAAAATGGTTTAGATCGGCCCACTTTTTCGATCACTTCCCATACAAGGCCTATTTTGAAAAGTCATTACATGAAAAAAAAATGCAATATTCAAAATTTCACAACAAAATTCGCTCTGTAATAGTAATTGCATATTCTAAATTGATATGAAAAATTTGGTTCGGCTAAGCGAATTTTTTGAATCGTCGCTCATATAACCGTTCTTACGTAAACTGAAATTTTTTGTAGTAAAATTGTATATTGTTTAATATTTCATGGAGAAAATACGTTCGTAATAGTAAATCGACATAGAAATCAGTTTTACCGAATTTGGGCTACATAGGTCTATTTTTTGCATATCGCCGTATATGAGGATACTTCCCGTATGTGCGTTTTCATGAAAAGTATGCCTTTGCATGAAAATGATGTGTAACTTTTGGTGTATTATTAACAAAATGAGTGAATAAATATGTTAGGGCAAATGGGTATCTAAAGGGTATCTGAAGTTGGCCTTGCCCTCTGTGTATGTTGTAGCTTTTCGCCAATAATATACATGAACTATGCGGTAAATGGTAGCGAATAAAATTTTTTTTTTAATTTCTTATCGCACTTGAGATTTGAACCCACGATTATTGAGTTGCTAGTCGAGACTCGTGCCTACTCGGCCACATACATTAACTGTATAATTTCTTATTTTATTTGTATTTGTGTTTTTATTTTTGTTTACCTTAGCAGAGACGCGAATCAAGTGTGAAGATAGCCCAACTGTTAGTAAAGACAAAAGTGTACAATAGGCTAACTTCTCGCCAGTTAATAGTCGATATGCCAGAGTCGAGATACATAATTACGTTATATAATTTTACTGGTCCTAATGAAGGTGCTTTTGAAAAATATCCGGTCAAGTTTAAAAAAAAAAAAAAAGAAAAAATATTGAAACCATTTGATATATTATTCAACAGTCTTCAGCGTTATGTATATACTTTTTGTGACTTGTTAAAGTAATTGGTTTTTCCCTGCTTGGCCCCAGATAGCAACAAGATTGGTTACCTTTGATGTGTGATATTTTTTTCGTTTTTTTTTTTTTTTTAACAATTTTTGTTATTTTTTATGAAAACCATGTTTTGCAATTAACGATAAAAGATATATCTTTAACTGTTATCTACTTCATCCGGTACCATATGGCATCGTTATGAGGAAATCATACCAATGTATAGACATCGATGACATCGAGGCCTTTCGAACACTTTTAGTTCAAGTGCATTATTTCAACAGAACGTAATGAAGATTTTACAAAATTACTTACTATTATTACCAAATTATTTGATTTTTATTAAAGTTATTAAAGCTGATAATGCGATCATTGGTGAGAAAAATCAAAAAAAAAAAAAAATGAGAGAAAATTAAAATAAAATAAAGAGAAAAGAAAAGAAGAAACAAAATATTTCGATACATAAACGTAAAAGCGTATTTTACTTTATCGCAGATTGCACAAGTCCTGACTCGGTATTCTCGGTATTCAACGAGCCTATTAAATTATCTCTGAGAGGCATTATCAAAATTTATGAAAATGTCACCATTGATGATGTAATTACGACTACCAATAATGATCTCAGTTACAATTACATTGATGCCCGTCTAGAATATTCGACAAGTGATAATCATACTAAAAATTTGGTTATATTTGCAAACAAATACTTTGAAAATTACGCTAAAGAACAAACCGCCACAAGAATAACATTAAAAATTGGTTTGCAGTGCGACATGAGTAGGGAGAAGACACTGGTAAGATAAGCGACGGTAGTCGAGTCGAATTTAAAATAAATTCATTCTTCCTTTTATTATTAATAATTTAATAAAGGTTTTCTTTCAACCTTTGGAAGAAGGCAATTACTTTGATCCCGTATTTTCGCAACTAGAATATGAGTTTATTGTGCCAACTCCCATTTTTGTCGGGTTCGATTTGACCGTATTTCAAGCGATATCAGCGACGGACGATGATTTGACGAACAATCAAATTTCTTTTACATCTGATAAATCATCAGCTTTATATGATATTGCGGTTGGTATAAAGAATCATCGAGCCACAGCTGATAAGAAAACTTGTTTTGCTAATTTAATAGTGAAAAGAATTTTCATGGAATTGCCGCAACAAATACAATTTGATATCATCGCGACGGTAAGTGAAAGAACTGAGTTTGCCTCTACCACTGCCAAATGTGTAAAAGGCCAAAAGAAATGTTTGAGTCGTGCCTTGTACTTGTATTTTCTTCCCATAGCATTTGCTTATTGCTAACTAATACTGCAAAGTGTACTCCACAGCGATGCATTCAGACAATGCCTTAAAGTCAATGGCATAAGAGAAGATACTTTCTGCATATATCTAAGGAAAGGATTTTGTGAACTAAGTACTGACGCTGAAGTGAACACAACATAGTTTTTTTCAAATTTCAAAAGTTCAGCGGAAGAAGAAGGAAGAATTTTTATTCTTACTCTACTTGCTGCTATAAGCAATCAACGGAATTCATTTGCCCAATGCAGGCAAATCGTTCAGAATTGATTCACAGGGGAAGTGCGCGTCTTCCATAGTGACAATGCCTTATCACTTGATGGAATTTTTACAGCATCCGCTGTACTCTCTTAACGGTGTAAATATGACATTGAAAAAAGTCTGTGAAAATCATTTGATATTCACCTTCAGCCTTGGAACTCCAGAAGTTTTACAACGAAAGACTGAATAATGTTTCTAATGATCCTCCAAAAAACATTGCAAAACGTTATCGATCAAATTATCGTATATTTATTTTAATAAAGTTCATGAAAATTGTCCTCGAAATTTGAATTTTGAAAAAAAAAAAAACGCCATGAAGTTGAAGTTCTTCGATCTAAAACATTTTTTATGTTTCATTAATGCTTTTAGTCTAATAATACATTGTTGAGATCGTTTATGCACTTGGTTAATGAAATGTAATGTTTCTCTTGACAGGATAACGGTATACCACCACGTAGCTCTAAGGCTGTAATAAAAATACGTGCAGATCCCTTAAATAGCCTACCTATTGAACCGAAATTTATACAAACCCTTTATAAGGGTTTTATAGATTACGATTTTCGAATGAATCCGTTAATTATTGAATTGGAAAACGGCACCTATTCGAAAGATGTGCGCTTTACCCTACTTGGCAAAGATGTCGCAGATTATCGACTCAGAGATAAACATAACGGAGTCGTACGTATAGAATGGAGCCCAAAAAATAAAGATAAAAGCATAATATTACAAAGAAAATCATGGGAAATGGAATTGAAAGCACAGCACCAGAGGCTCAGACAATCTAGCCAAACTGCCATCCTAATCGAATTGGCTGATTTTGAAGGTCTGTAATATGCATAAAAATTTCTTTTCTTTTTTCATAGGAACTTAATTTTTCAAATTTCTTTTTCTTCTTTTCTAGGAAATTTTCATTTTATAGATGATACATACGAAGGATTTATCAGTGAATCTGGAAATTTATATATGGATGTAATTACGTTCAATCCTAAAATTTATCAAGAAGAGATAGAGTTTAAAGTTGATATGAATGCTTATCAATTGCCTATAAAGTTGAAAATTTTTAAAAATAATATCACTTTGGAATTATTAGATGCGTCAATTGTGAAATCTATGAGAACTGTGCCATACGTTAAGTTAAGCTTGCAGGCTGCATGGTTGCATTTAAAAGCCAGCACTCAAGTAATAATAAAAATAGAGCAGCCAGGACTTGACTCAAGTCATGCTAACGGTAATCATGTCGAAAAGACGGTCATGTTCAAACACATCGAAGAAGAGCGATACCATTTTGGAGTTTTGAATTTAACCTTCAATGAAAATTGTGCATTTCTTGTAATAAGTCAATGGCCTGAGGACAAGGGTAACTTTTTGATATGCTTAATATCGTTTATCGTTTATCTCTACACATATTTTCAATTTTCTTTGATTTTTTTTTGTTTTTTTCTTTGTCTAGAATTTTTTTATTTAAACGAAAGTTCTCATAGCTTAGATTTGATACCGATCGATCGTGAAGATCAAATATTTGAAAATGTTACTAAACCTCGTATTATTATTAAATTGAAATTAGTTTGCAAAAGTTTAAATCTCTCAGGAAGTGAATCGCAATCTTCCAATCGATTTTTATCCAGATTTGAAGAGGAACAATTCAAGTTTAATGAGCACGATATACCATATTCATCGTCCTGGATGTGGTTACATTTAATTGTAGACGATATTAACGATAATGCTCCAGAATTTCAAGGAATAGAAAATGATTTACTATTGGGTTATCCTGCTGCAAACATGCCGTCGTTCATGTATCCAGAATATGTAATACAATTAAATGCTATCGATAAAGATATTGACTTGAATGCTCAGATCGAGTACAAAATGAAAGATAATTTCTATTTTGGCATTGAAAACAAAACTGGGAAAATATATCCCATAGCCAATGGCCTGAAAGTGGGTGAAAGCGTCAATTTAGTAATTCAAGCTACCGATCGCAATGGTCAGGGTTTGACCAAAGAATTGCGATTAAATATTATAGCACTTTCGGAAGTTTTTTATAGTTTGCTAACTTTAACCGAAAATGTCAAGAAATCTGTTGATGAAATAACGCAAGAGTTCAATCATATCAGAGATTTAAGAATACAATTGATCAAGCTGTCGTATGTACCACGGCCAATAAAAAAAACCCCAAAGAATACAAACGGTTTCATGTACAAAGCGTGGATTTGCGCTTTTCAAGATAATCAACCGATTCTTAGCAAAAATCTAAAAAAGTGAGTAGATCTCTAGGCGCGCGCATAATTTAATAAAAAAAATAAAAAAAATATTTATTTACTTTTACTTATTTATTCTTACAGGAGACTTAACATTACTGCGGATTATATAATAAACTTGGAGAGCTTTGAAGAAATTAATTTATCTCATAACACTAATCAGAGTTCTTCAGTGTTTGTTAACTACTACTTGGTTTTCATCATATGTTTATTTATTGTATATAGCGGTTGTATGGGTAAGTTTTCTCTTTGTGTATTTATATTAATACATTAAATGATCGGTGGATACCGAACTAATACAAATAATGATAACGTTATATATAATTGTAATGAGTGAAACAGATATAAACAAGAAACGGATATAATCTGAAAAGTGAGGGGATTCGCTGATTCTGAACGAAGAACACAAAAGCAAAGGTATTTTTTTTTCATTTGATTGCGTTATCAAAGCTGCAAAAGCTACTTAAAGCCCTCTATTAAAAGCTATTCTCGCCATTAACACATTCCCCGGCACAGGGTAAAAACTCTGCTTTGCTTGTTAAAACTCATTTGTAAGTCAAGATCAACTTTTTTCAATTAATTCATTCAATATTTTACAATTAATTGTTGTTAACAATGTTCGAACAAATGTAATGACATTTATAACAAAATATTTGAGATATGCACCGATAACAGCGCATAGGATAGGATATTGCGGTTAGCTTTCAATGCATATTTCAATCGCAATATGCGTCTTTTCTTTGCCATGTTTAGATGTTTTGTTGTTCAGTTATTGACGACTAAAATAAAATAAATACTTTCTCTCATAAATAGAAAGAAAAATATGTGTGACAAGACAGGGCAGGGCAGGACATATTAGCAACTACAGGCCAATAGCCAATAAGTTCCCTCTTGCAGGAATGGACCCAATGAATCTGAATTTTCGAGTACTGGCTTCATCTTCGGCAAAGAATGCGTTCAAAATTCTGTCGCAATGTGCGAACAGAATCTGATTGATTTGCTGTAAACCCACGCGACCTTAAAACTAATAATAACAATAATTTGTTTCGTGGCAAGTTTGTGTATTCACTAAGCTACAGACATGAAACATACGATAATCGCTATGTCTCAGGCGTGCATTAAAGCGCGAACGAAATCTATTCGAATTCACTTTCGAATTTCATTTTGTGCTTTTCTTCCCTTCTTATTATAAGTTTTGAGAAAGCTGTAAAGCTATGATCAAAATTGCACTGTGTAGTTAACTAAGCAGGAAACTGGGACACTTGAATTTAGTTAGGCAACGTTTTGCTCAGTCATCACCGGTTTTGTAATGCGTTGGAAATTTGCATTTAAAAAATGCACTTTAGTTGAATCAATATTTTGCGGAAAGGCTGACTTTATCTTAGGATAGTTGTGATTATTTGAAAACGGTTAAGGCATTTCTCTCGCTTAATGTAGCACAGATTGGCATTGCGATTTAATCAAAGTTGATATTTATTCATTAATTGTTTCATGAACATAATCTAGTAAATCTTAGAGCAAAAAATTTCGTACCAAAATATTTATTAAGGTTAAGCTTCAGTAAACTCATGGAAAGGATATCAATGCAATCAATGCAAGATTTATTAAATCATTTTCAATGGATAAAGCATTATTTGCATCGTTTAATGCGCCAAACAATTATTGAGAGAGAGAGAGAGAGAGAGAGAGAGAGAGAGAGCGAGTTCGCTCAATGGTTCCTTACAAACGCTCGATTAGCGCTTCGCTAAAAATTTAGTAATTTTTTTTTTTAATCTTTGCTTAGACTTGAGTTCCATGCGAACGGCAATTATCACAATAGAAAAGTTTCAAGTACAAATTGACATATAGAGTGAGTATGTATATTGTGTAGATTATTCAAGTTAAGCGATCGGCATAGACCGCAATTACGTTTTATTATGTACTGTTCTGGAAAGCTTGACTTCAAATCTTCCCTTAATCATAAATATTAATAACGACAGATTTGATGAGAAGGGCGCATATGTGTCTGACATATTGAGTGTCGTTCGTCAAGTGAAAGCTGAAATTAGTATAAACAAACGTCTTAGAAGAATATTTATTATCAATTAGGATGACGCCTATCACGTGACAATTCCATATTGTAAAAAATTGAAGATATCATCAGGTACATATTATTATTTATATCGATTCCAGCCGTTTACGAGTATAGACATCGAACATATTGATTACATTGTTCAATCAACGATTATGAAAGAAATGTCTATGGGCGCATAAAAAACCTCAAAAGCGATTAAATGACGTCTTTAATCGGTGTTTTTGATCATTACAAATAAAATGATAAAAAAAAGCACACACCTAGCCTTTGGGAATGACTGTAGGAATTAGTAATTAATGGTAGATAGTGGGTATCCAATCAGTCGGTCGTATCTTAAGGAATGATCGTTACTTAAAGGTCGGCGTTGTTAGTATGTACTTAAAAAATAGCAAAACGTGGTACAAGGGTATTCCCGCGTATAACGTGCTTTTACGACCTCGTATAAACCAAATTATCAAACATTTTTCTGTTTTCTGGTATTAACGAATCTTTTACACGTGAAAATCATTATAAATTTCACAGTACAGAAATATGTAGGAGGAACAATCCCCGCGTTATATAGGGGGAATGTTCGCGTTATACGGGGGATTGAAATCGCATAATATGAAAACGCGTTATAAGGGTACCGCGTTATAGGGCGGATTACTGTAGTTTACATCAATCAAGAACGTAGTTGAAATGATTACATTTATCGAAGTGTAGCTAAATAAGATCGTTAACGATTGAGGGTAACGTTAAAGTTTAACGATTGCGTTTTCTAGCTTAATCTTTATATTAATTTTTTAATGTAATTCTCTGCACATCTTTTATTCTTTAATTGTAGCTCTTTTAATTTGGTATTTTTATTGTACTCAGAGTGCACTTAAGTGTAATACAATACCAGCAATATCTTCACAGTATCTGCAACACAATGGCACGAACAACGACACAATCATATCGGCGAGTTCTTCTTCTTACACCGAAACAGACAAAGCTAATGACTGTTTATCAAGAAAGTCATCTCAGAGTCATATAAAGTTCAATGATTTCATGAAAAGTGCTGCTATTGAAGAATGTCAATAGTTGATGATGATGATTATAAACGATAAACACATAAACGTCAGATATTGTCTTAAAACTTTTTATTGTAAACAATTAAAGTTCTTTTCATTTCAACTATGAATAAATCTTATAAAAATATCTATGTAAAGGAAAAATTTTAAACGAAAATTAAAAAAAAAAAAAAATATGTGAAATACTTGGCTAACTGTGAATATATCAATTCGTTCATCCATGCATAAGACGAAACCTATTAAGGATGGATTGCTTCGGATCACTTTTACACTACAGTACCCCAGTACGGTAGAACCTTTTATTTCAGAAAGTTGTCATAAAAAAAAAAATTCCAAATTTCAAAACTTTTTCGCCAAAGATCACCTACTAATTGTATTTGGGCGTATTAAGTTGATGTGAAATTTTATATTAAATGGGGCAACTTTTGCAACTACCTCCCATATAAACGTTCGTATAATGACTTAAAAACACATATATGATAAAAAAAAAAGTTTATATTTTTATGTTTTACGATGAAAAGCTTATAAAGTATTGTAGAGTAGTGATCTACTATTGGGTACCACTCAGCATAAGGGCATTCAAGGAAAGTAAATAGGCCAAGGCCGAAGTGAATTCTTGCAAGAGATTGAATCTTTATGGAGCAATTGGCCAAGGAGTAGAGCTGATAAGAGTATTGCAGATTTCCTTCCACAATTTTCATTTAAACTTTTTCCGTCCAATGTATCTTCGAAGATCAAATATATCCATGGTATCACCTAAAATTAAGTTTGTAGAATCTGCAGGCCACGTTGCTCGATTTGCTTGGTCGTTTTTCAACAAATCGATATGATTAGAGAGCCGAAGCCTTTTAATTTTTTCTCCGCATGTAGCGATGGTGGTCTGTAATTTGCTAATGGTGCTTTAGCCGGAAGTCGGTGTATTCCGAGGGATTGCTTTTAACGGTAAAAGAAAGGCAGATTATCAGTAAAAACAAAAAAAAAAAAACAGTCTTGAGTTTCTCTTCACAAGCTAGGCTCATAGCTTGAAAAGTAGCGCGGCCTTCACTGGTATTAGTTGCTATTTTCTTAAATTTTCTTAAACGGGTATATTAAGTGTGTGCAGACGTATGCAACACTCGAAAGTGGTTGAGATAGACCCACCATTTATTATACCAAAAAATCATTCCGATTTGATTTAAACCTGTGTGTTCGTCTAATGTCTGCCCATCTATTTTTGTGTTCAACCTACAGGTCGCAATTTTTGAGATATTTTGATGAAATTTGTTGACTTGCTTTGATCCAGCGACGAACACTTTTGAAAGTCCGGCTCGGCCCACTTTTTCGACCACTTCCTATATAAAGTTCTACTTTGAAAAGTCGCTATGTGCAAAAAGATTGCAATTTTCAGCACTGTTTAACAAAACACGTTGTGTAATAGTATTCCGACATTCGAAATACATACGAAAAAGTTCGTTCGGTCGCCGGAATTTCTCATAAAACCATTCCTGCGGAATCTGAATCTTTATATGGTAAAGAGTGTAATTTTTCAATATTTCTCAGGAAATGTGAGAACCTCTGTATGCAAAAACGGCCTAATTGTTAATATTTTGTAATGAAAATTTGTTTATGATAGTCATTTGACATAGATATTAAGTAGGCCAAATTTGAAACACATGGACCCTTCCCCCTCATAAGGTTTGCCAAGGATAGTAAGTAAGCCCTTCAGAACTAGTTTTAATTTTTAATATTTAATGATGAAGATCGGTAAATTAGTAGAAATTTTAGCCAAAAAAATGAACAGTACAGAGTTCAGATCATCTAGGTCTATTTTTTAGCCCTAACATATATAAGGATTCGCATGATAAGCACGCCCTTATATGGAGAAGAAGTACAATTTCTAGTTTTCTATGCCTGAAGCTGACATTTTTTGGAAGTAAATTAAGTTTGCTAAATTTGGATTTCATCATATGATGCGGGCTTCCATGAAAAGCATATTTTTGCATGAATGATTTTGTTCTTCACAAACTGTATACACTTACACTATACTTTGCTTTTGGCATTTATGTTAATTGGCTACAAAAATTCCGTGATTTTAATTTTATGAACATAAGACTTGCATTCTACTTGACTTTGATAATTATTTTATTATTTCGCTTTAAAATATGTTTAAGTAAAAAGACGCAAATCTCCAAAATGTGGCTTCTTCCTCTTCGGTACAAATATTTGTCTATATGTAATGGCGAAAAAGGTCAGCTAAATGATTCGCAAGACGCTCTCGAAACCAAGTTAACATCATTAAGAGGGTTCTCTCTCCAACTTTGCCGAGTCATTGAAAATGTGTGTGGTCTCACGACAGAAGACGACGTTCTTCGTATTGATCAATTCTGAACAATTTACCTGCATTGAGCGCTTTAATCGCATTAATTGAGAGTTGAATCGATCGTCTGGTGCGAACGGGAGAAGCCCATTAACTATAATTGTTTTTCAATGCCACGAAATGCAACACATCATCACGAGTCACGATCTTTTTCGTTCATTATTGTCACATGTGAAACGTTTGTTAACGCTGGGCATCAATCTCTTCATAAATGTTCTGATTTTGTTTCGTTGCAACGGGGATTTTCGGATGGATATGCTGGCTATTAAATTTTTCATTGTTCATTCAACCTTCTGCAAACGCTGAGAAACTATTTTTCATCCAAAATTTAATTCCGCAATCATGTTATGATATAAAACGTGTCAGTGTTTTTCAGTTTTTTAAAGAATCCAACGATTATTCGACCAAAAAGCAAAGCGTCTTTAACGCGGACCCATAAGAAATCTATAAAGTGTCAATTGCTTAGCCGAATAGTAATACTAAAGTTAAGTGATTTTAAAGCGATTGACTGGTGAAAACACGACAAACTTTTTCATCAAGACAGGTTGCCACAAAAGTCTAAAGAATAGGAAAATTGCTTTATATAATGAAGCAATTTGTAAACAGTGAATACGCAATTTAGGAAAGGTACCCTGACTGATAGTATGGTTTTGTAGTAAAAGAGACAAAGACAAAAATTTTCATTTATCGAAAAAAACAAAATCAATAAATCAATAAATAATAACTTACTTCACATAAGAGAGACAATATGGATCTTAAGTTGCACACAACATTTATAAAAAGTTTTAAGAAAATAATAATAATTTCTTAAAAGAAAAAGTTACAGTTAAGATCTGAGGGGGTAAAAATGTGTTTTTTTTTTTTTTTTTTAAATTTAAGAAGGGTTTAATTTTTTGATCGCAAAAAGAAAATCTTATTAACTGCATATTGAATATTTTTCAAATTTCTTAACTTGTAATTTACACTGTATTTATATATATTAGAGAAATAATTTTTAAAATCGCATAAATACAAAGTTTTCATATTTATTATCTTATCATTATTAAAATGATTCACACAAAAAAAAGAAAAAAAAAATACAAAAAACAAAAACTAAATAATGTTTGATAAGAAATCACTAATAAGAGGTAAGTAAATGAAGAACAATGAGAACGAGTTAAAAAAAAACAATTAGCAAAAAAAAAAAAACTTTTATTTTCATTTTATAAAATAAAAAAACAAAACAAAAAAAAAATTAATAAATTAATAGCAAAAAAAGAGAAAAAAAAAATAGTAATAACTTTGGATTTAATTTTAACCTTAAGGCTAATATTTGTTAAGCAATTATTACAAAATCAGTTTTTCCATTATTTACGACTGCATTGCACAACATTACTCAGCCTATCCCTCTGTTCTGCCTAACACTTTGATGAAATAAAAAATAGCTTTGGATGGATTGCATTTTCTTCGAAGCTTTGAATAAATTAAAGTTTCGAGGCAGATCTTTACTTCCCGCTCAGTATGTTATCGTGCATGCCCACTTCAAGTTAAATTGTCTGCCTGTAGAATAGTGTGACATTTGGAAAAAGGTGAATAATTAATTCCAAAGGGAAACATGTAATCAACCAAAGCAAAGGCAGTTGCAAGCAGACAAATATTTAGTGAATTGTATGCAGCTTTCCTTGTTTACTAGTACATCAATCACCACGTTACGCGGCTAGACAAGTAATGTTACATTTCTTTTTGTAAAACTCGACTTTATGGAACAATTTGTCAATATATGGGGCTTAGCTCTTGTAATGTCCCCATCATTTGATCCAAATCTTTTTCTCTGAGGTATATTTTTGGAATTCGCTCACGATTAGTAGTCTCTGCTGGACATGTTGCAAGACTAGGTTGGGTGAGGCAGCGATTCAAACATCAGTTTGTGCAATTTTGCCTACCGTAGGTTATTGCAGTCATGGTCTGATGATACCGTGCATTGAGTTTGCCATTCGGGCCGATTTTCGATAACATTCGCTCTCAATCGAACAACATGTTCTAGATGCAATTCACGGTTCGTCGTTAACCTTTCCTGAAGGTAGTCAAGTTACAAGCCTAATCTGACGGCGGGCTTATAAGCCCCGCGCTTTTTATCGTTTCGCATAGCTTTCAGCAACTTTTCCCATGAATCGTCCGCTGTCACAAGCCGTATAAAAAGTTCATTTCATTACAGTTCAAAACAGTGCCAAACAGGGCCCCCTAATGCGTTTACATTTTTCTTTTGCTTTTCTTCTTTGTAAGTCTTGTGACGACCACAAACCAATCAGGATTGTTGCAGTGCTTCCTCAACATAAAAGTAATTCATATTACCTGAGTATTTAGGTGTATTTCAGCGTAAGCTTATTATAACATTACGCCTCCGTTGGATGCATTCATAGATAGACTTTTGCATTTATTGCAATTTTTCTTTTAATATATGCGTTGAATAAAATTTAAGTTAAGAAATAAGAATAATTTAGCTGATGTAATATCAATTTGCAATTTAAAAAACTCGCATAACTTGGTAAAATCATTGTTTAGCGTAATTAAAAAAAATAAAAATAACAATTGAATGTTCATTTAAACAATCGGTGAATTAGACAATCACTTGTGTGCTTTTATTTAAAAAGTTTTACTTTGAAGTTTATTTTTTT